GCCCAAAATATGTCAGATGAAGCTTCAGAATCCTTGCCTCCAAGGATTAATCTGGTCTCACCCTCTCTAGGATTAACCTGTTTGTTCTCTGAGCAGTCCATGGTATATTCATTACTCTTCTCCAGCACCACAGCTCAAAAGGCATCAATTTTCCTTCTATCATCCCTAGTCATTGTCCAGCTTTCTGATGCACAGCAATTAATTGCGTAGACTATGGCCTGAATCAGCCACACTTTAGTCTTCAGACTGACATCTTTCCTTTTCAGTACTCTGGAGAGGTCACTGACAGCAGATTTTACCAATGCAATTAGTCTTTTGATTTCCTGGCTGCTGGTACCAAGAGTGTTGATTGTAGAGCCAAACAAGTTAAAGCTGTTAAAAATCTCAATCTCTTAACCAGCTGTCATGATCCTGCCAATTGGCCCAGTCATGAGAATCTTTGTTTTCTTGATGTTGAGCTTTAATCTATATTGAATGCTGCACCTCTGGAGCAAGTGCTTCAGGTCCTCCTCAGTTTCAGCAAGCAGGGTTGTGTTATCTGCATAATGCAGATTGTTGATGAGTCTTCCTTTAATCCTGATGCCATATTTCTCCTCATAGAGCCCATGAAGCTCCTGGATAATCTGTATTGCATATAGATTGAAAAGGCATAGAGATAGTAGTCACCCAGATGGGGGCATTTAAAACAATGGAAGTACAATTAAGGGAGAAAAAGTGAAAAGAAGAACAAAGACAGAGTGCTCAGGAATATAAAAATCTAAATAAGAGGCCAATTTAAAGGAAGCATGATAATTGCAAAGTAGAGTTGACTGGATTTGGTGATAGATACTGGTGACTCACACTGAGAATCTATGGCTAGAGAAAGAAGACAAGAACAGGGAGAGAAAGTAGTCCCGGAATCAAAGAATGAAAGAGAACAGTCAATGATAGCAAACCCCAAGATCAGATAGAATGAGGTAAGGATTTAGTCACATTTGTGATTTGGGTAATAAGGAAGTTATTGCTGAGGAGAGAATAGGCAATTTTAGTGATACAGTCATGGAATATAGAGTGAGTAGAAATCAGATTATAAGTTTGATATATAAATTGGAAATGATGCAATGTTGACACATACATTGACTCTTACTTAAAGGTGCTTGACCATGAATGTCTAGTTCTCTTCTACAGGAATGTGGATCTTCCCTGAGATGGTTGTGGACTGGAGCACATAGGGGGTGGAGAGTGGGGGCCTCTGCTCCACAGAAGCAGCAAGTGTTGGAAGCAAGTCAGTGTTCAGAGTTGAGAGTGAAGTTGAAAAAATGGCGCCAGTAAGCCTGACAGGGGAGTCTGAAAGAAGTCCCAAAGGAAGGAGTCAGAGCTAGGGTCCTAGTTAATTTCTTACCTCTAGGTCACAAGATTGATCAGAGTTCAAACTCATTGGAATTGGGAGGGAGGGAGGAAGACTACTAAAATGAGAGAATGAGAGAAGGAAGAAGCCTGGCTGGTGGGATGGAGCCTCAGAACAAGTATAATAGAAGAAGTAGGGCAGTTTGGTGATTTTATATTTATAAGAATTTTAGAGGGAATGGTTTCATTTGAGAATATCTGAAGCATGGTCATGAGGGTTGCCTCAATGGTGGGAGTGAAAAAGAATGCATTTGGGATTAGGGAAGAGTCCAGAAGGTTACAATATCGGTAGAATCTTTCTCATGAACGCTGAAGCCAGCAGGGTGATAGCAAAATTTTTATTTGAAGGAGCACGATTAAGTCCTCCAGGAGTACAGGGGAGTGACTATAAGGATGACAACCATCAGTGACACAAATTGAGAGGGCAAGAAAGCGAAATGAGGTAAGTTTCAGAGCAGGAGTGTGGCTGTGATGGTGGTAGTGGGGATAAGAAGAAATGTGCTAAAGTTCCCCTGGACCTGCTGTACTTTGAGAGGCCTGTGAAGGAAGTGGTATCCTTGATGTAGAGTCAGGGAATGGAAAGTTCTCTGTCAGTGAAAGCAGGACAAGAAAAGAAAACAGTCTTGGCCAACAAATACATGTGGCCAGAAACAAAGAGGATTGTCTTTTATGTTCTGCTAGGACTGCTGAGTGAAGGGCTTCCAGGGAATCACAACAGACAGTTGTACTGACTGAGCAGTATTTAATATAATTAAGTCTTAAATAAAAAGTCATGGGTACAAACATTTAAAACCAAATACATAATAAATAATCATTAAGTTAAAACATACATAGTTCATATTATAACTAAATTCTCAAATGCAAATGTAAATAAATCAGCACAATAATACAGAATAATAATGCTACAATTTTATACAAGTGTCCAAAACAGATACTATCAGCTAAAATAATTTTAAAAACCATGATTGATTTTTTTCTGAATTCCCTTGACCAATATTGGAGGTGGAATATTGGCAATATTGGAGGCGGAAGTGTGTGTGTAACAGTTCCCTGATTTTTTTTATAGATTTTGCTAAAAATGCTCTTGAAAGAATATTGAGCAACAGGACATCAGAGTCAAGACAATGTTTTACTTTAGAATATGAAGTGATGTTCTAAATACTTTAGAAACTTAAGGACATGTAGATCTCGGAAGGAGAAATAGTTCTAACAGAGTAGTCTTTTCAAAAATTGGAAAAGCAAAAACATTAAGCAACCATTTTTCAGACACCAAGATTTCAAATCTACTGTATAACCATCCATATAGTGAACAGTATGTTTACAGGTTCCCCTTGTATCCTTTTTGTGGACTGAGTAGGTCTTGAAGAAGAAAATCAGTAAAGATGGAGTTTCAAGTACCACGTTTTCATCTTCAAGTTCCACATCGTCATCTTGTTTATTCTGATGCACTGCTTGTCATGTATCTCCTCTTTAAACTCAGTTTAGTGAGTGAAAAGGATTACAGCAGAGATTGCCAGTAGGACACACACCAAAATAAATACATTCTCATAGATATAAATCACACTGTCAAAAAGTCAACAGCTTTAAAACCAGAAACAAGAAATACAGACTTCATCTTTCCCAGGTCAATCTTGTGTCTGCTTTCAACTTAGATTCCCCAAAACCATGCTGGCACTCTCTGTTTGAGGCATAGGCAGGCTTTAGACCCATATTGTTGTTAGTTGTCATTGAGTCAATTCTGACTCATTGAGTAGATTCTGACTCATGACCACCCATGTGTGCAGAGTAGGATTGCTGCCTATGGTTTCTGATGCATCTCTGAGTGGGTTGGAATTACTAACCCTTCAGCTAGTAGTCAAGGGCTGTGCTACCTGCTATTACACATATATTTAAAAGATTACTTTATGGTAACATATAATTTTGAAACAATATCTTGTCTATAACAATAAAACATTTAATTGAGATCTGATGAACTAATTTGTTCTTAGTCTATCTTTTATGACTGTAAATGAAGTCCTCACTTACTTTTAAAGCACCTGTAGGTAATTTTTCTTCCTCATAACATAAAGCAGTTGTCCTCCCACATCCTAGTACCCACTCGCAGACATTTTAACACTAGTAATTCTCAGAAAGCTTAAAACATTTCAGCCAACATGTTCTGGAACTTTTGACTTCATTATTTTTAATAAAAAAACTATGAAGAGGCTGATAAGAAATGCCCTTTAGGGCAGCCCGCTTGTTTTCTTTCATTCCTTATGTTTTAAAAGATTGAATTTATTTTGTCTGCAAAAGCCTGTTTTCCATTTAGATGTTCCAACATTGGGTCTAGATTGCTCTGCTGATTTTTATTTTGTATAAGTGATTGAATTTGCTTCGTACAAACACAAGATAGCCTAAATGCTTGACAATTTCTTTTATATAGGAGAAGCTGGCTTTAAAAAGAAGAGAAAGAGAAAGAGATAGACCTTATTGGAGAAAGCTAAGAGTTATTAGCCAGTTCTCCTCCATAAGGCAAAATTATAGCTTCAAACTGCTCTAGTTGGCTCTAGTTGGTTCCAGAAGGGCACCTGGTATATGTATGTCCCTCTGTAGCTTTTAATTGCCATTTCCACAAGCTTAAAATGATAGCTTATAAATGGACTTAAAACTGGGGGAGAAGGGTGACAGCACAAGAGAGGAAGACCTTCAATGAAATGGGTTGGTTCAGTGACTGGGGTAATAAGATAGGTGTGTCAGAGACAATAAGATTGGCACAGAAAAGAGCAGGGTTTAGGGCTGTTGTACGTAGGGTTGCTATGAATCGCAGGTGCCTCGACGGCACATAACAACAACAACAACAAGAACAAATTACACGAATTTCTTAAATAATACCCTATTGCCACTAAAAAAAATTTAAAAAGACACTAAATGAGTCTCACATCTCCTATCTATAGTATTTAAATATTTTAATAAATTCAATAAAAAGGTAAGGCTTTTTTTGGTAGCCATCTAGAAAAATATTTCTCTGGCGCATAAATAAATTACATATTCCATATGTTACATGTGCTGAGATAAAAAGTAAACTCTTCAGATATAATACTTAGGTTTTTTACCTTTAAAAAAATAGTTAAAATTTTCATTTTGACCTTGCATGTTCATATTTTGAGGCTTGAATGAAAGTATCTATTTTCCAGAATATGATCACAAAAGGCCTCATCCACAACTCTTTGTAATTATAATTATGATCATAACAAATTCAGTAAATTCCCATTCTATATTTTTGTTTAAAATTTTTAACCTTCATTTCTAACCAAGAATATAATCGATGGACAGTAGGATAAAATATAAACATTTCAAGCCATGAAAATCCTTTATGTAGGAAATTAGACTACAAAAGATTTTCAGTTTGACTAAACATAGAACATGTGGATTGATGATGAATATTACATAGTAATTTGAGGAAATAATCCTGACTTTGAACATTGATCTATCTCAGTCTCTTTTCTCCCATCCCTAGTATATCGTACACCCCCTTTTGGAATGTGAAGAAGTGCTTTTCGTTACTGTTTTAGAGTATATAGCATAGTGTCCAGCTTCAAAGTAGATCCTCAGAAACTTCTGTAATCACACAGGTTCTAGGAGGCGTGCTGATAAATAATCTATGGGGAAAAAAATACCATGAGTACCACAGAGCAAAAGGCTATTGGTTCAGATAAAGGTGAAAATCAAATGTAATATTAGATACCCGCTGGAGAAGTGATTTCAGTCTTTCGAGGAATTCTTTTGGTGGTTTCTTCTCATAAGAATCACAAGCAGGACATTCCTGGAAATCAATGATAAGTAACAGGTTTTAAAAAGAATTCTTCCTATTTAATAAAACAGTGATTAAATTTATTTTTCCATTGACAATATAAATCATATTTACCAGGGAAAATGTGGGAAATGCACGTAATTGATAAGAAAATAACATTGGAAAGAAAATCATTCATAATCCCGCTCATGAAGATAAACTTGACAATGTTTTGAGATATGCCCTCTTCTATTTTTTGGGTATGCTTTCCTGTTATTCTTTGTTATCCTCTGATGGATAATTGGGGAGGAGTTTTACTCTTAATAAATCACAGGCCTTTCCTATGTTTTAACCTTTTTAAAGTATGATATAGGTAATGATTTCATTGTATTCCAAGACAGAATAGAACTCTTACAATTTTTGGACATATAAGTTAGTTCTCACTTTTCACTGTTGCATATGATGCTACAAAAATATTCTTATAAATAATTTTTATGGACATCTTTGCTTCAATTGATAAATTCCTAAAAGTTGAATTGCTGAATTAAAGGGTGAAAACTTTTTGATGGTTTTTTTAATATATGCATTGTAAAATTTTTGCCTTTATTCACCTGCTGATTTCTTATCAACACCCAATAAGACCATTTATTGTTACTAAAATATGATAAAAATGTAACATAGGTATAGTATGAAAATATATAATGAAAATATAACTAGTTTGCTAAATGTCTTGGGGTATAGTCCACAAAGAATTGCACTGGTAGCTCAAAGGTGGTTCGAATCTAGTGGTTTGGATCCACTAGTGGCCCCTAAGAAAAAAAGATAGGCAATCTCCCTTAGGACTCACAGCCTCTGAGAACCTGCTGAAGGGTGAGTTATGACTGGGTCTTCTTCAGTCCTGCAATAACATAATTAACTAAAGTGTCATTAAAATAAATTTTAAAAAATATTTTCCTGTAACTATTTGATGGCTAGTAAAATGAAACAATTTTGTTACATGTATTTCCAACTTACAACAAGTAGAAGAAAGAAACAGATTCCAATAAGGTAACTATGGCATTTTGAAAGAAGGGTTACAAGATCTTTTTGCCTCTGATTGCTTCTAGAATGTGTATGCCAATGTAATTTTCTTGGTTTGTGTTTTTCCCCCCTTGTTACTGTTGAGATACCAATCAAGAGATATTGTGTGGGACTAGTGTTTTAAATGCTGATTTGATATTTTGGGGCATGGATTTAACGAAACAGTTTTTGTTGCTACTTGCCATGTAGTCCGATGACCCTGTGTACAAAGAAAGATTTTTTTAAGGCTGTGCTCTTCCAGAAGCAGATTAATTGGTCTGTGTTCCAAGGTGCATCTGGCTAGATTGGAACCATCAATCTTTCAGCAAGTAGTCAAGTGCTTAACTGTTTGTGCAACCCAGGAAATCCATGATTGGCAGCTAAGACTTAGATATTCTAGTTGTCATTCTGTCATTTGCTATTTGTGGGTTGGGGAAAGTCACTCAATGTGTCTGGTAAGTCATAATTTCCTCTACTGTAAAATGAAGTTTTAGTTCTACTATCCTATGTGTCTTTGATATTGGGTTTTAAAGACTTATTTCTATTCCTTTGAGGAAAGTTTTAGAGAAATAGCAACCTGGGAAAAGTTTAATAAGTAAAAACACCACCTCCTGGCTCAAAAGAAGAATTATTGTGATAATGTTTTTATTATTTTATTTCATTTGAATTACATGTAAAATTCCTTGGTGTCAGAATTACTTTAAAAAAGGAGCAATTGATTTTATATTCTACACCGACTGGTTTGATTAATGCTAATACTACTCATGTTCTTGGGCATTTTGCAAGGAGGGATTGATCCTTGGAGAGGGACATCATGTTTGGGAGGGTGGAGGGATGGTGCAGGAGAGGAAGATCCTCGATGAGATGGTTCGATTCTGTGATTGGGGCGGTGGGAATGAGTGTGTTGGAGACAGCAAGGTTGGTACAGGATAGAGCAGCGTTTAGGGCTCTTGTACATAGGGTCGCTATGAGTTGCAAACAATTCAATGACACATAACAACAACAACTCATGTTCTTAGATATTGACATTGCTCATGAGTTGGCAAAAAATAGATATATAAACTATGAGCTCATGAGTCACTATTTTGAAAATTGCTATACAATATGGGAGAGGCTGAGATGATTAAGTTGAGTGAATGAACTCAGTCTCATAAAGACAAATACTGCTTAAGACTATTATTATAAAAATAGAATAACTAGTAAGATATGTATAAAAGTCTAAGGGAGAAAGGGGAGAAGAGTGGGCTTAGGGTGGGGAGAGTGCAATGTCATGGGGTTTGTTAAGTGGAAGGAGGGGGTGAAGGAATTTAGAATGATCCAAAGAGGACCTGAAAGGATGGGGTGATAGTGGGCATAGATCAATGTTGATTGGCTTTATAAAATGTAGTGTATGTGAATGATCATGTAAAACATGATGTGAGTATGAAACATGATGTATATGAATGAAACACAATCTGTAAGAACTTTGTATGTAATCATATTAAGAAAACAAGCAAATGAAAAAATTTTCCCAAGTATATAAGAAAGTTTCAGTGATCCCAAAAATAAGGATGGCAGACATTCCCCAGTCACTTAATGGAATCTCTCCATTTCAATTTACGGGACCTGTATGTGTCCAAGAATGTAATATTCCTCGGCTGAGGAATGCAATGTTTGAGATTTATCCTGGTTTCTTACAAGTCGTCTTTTTCCTTGTAGAAAAACTAGAATCTAACTTTCATTAATAAGGTTACAACTTTTATTTAACCACTAAAATAATACGAAAAGTATTTTCTCCTGAGTTGCAATCAGATTCTCACTTCTTTATCTGGGGAAGTCATGTCAACTTCTTCCAGAGACTCTGGCGGCCTAGTGAGTAAGGAGTTGTACTGTCAACCAAAGGCAGGTTATTGGCATTGACAAGCTGCTCTTCAGGAGAAAGATGGGCAATCTCTTCCTGTGTGATTCACAACCTCAGAAAACCTGCTGGAGGTTCAGCAGTGAGTTGAGTCCCAGAGTACCAGGGATTCTTACCAGAGTCTAATACATATCTGGACATTTTCAAGTCTGGGAAAGAGATGTCCTTACTTCTCAAAATATACTGAATGATAAGAGACTGTAAAGAAGGCACTTAAGTCTTGCCACAAACGTGTGTGTGTGTGTGTGTGTGTGTGTGTGTGTGTGCTCGCGCATGCGTGTTGGTGCATTTTATGTGCTGTGGGTGCCCTTGTAATATAATAGAGATGCTAACAAGTGCAAACAAGAGAGATGACAAATGATAATCTTACCAGCTCTGGCTTGTGTTTCTGTTTTTTCCCTTCTTTTGTGGGAGGTAGTTTTCTCCTCAACTGGTGAATTCGCGTTTGGATCATCTTTTCATTGTCTCCTGCATTTATTATCTTTAGTTCGGCCTTCTGAAAGCATGAAAAAGCTGAAAGCTCACAGTGGTCCTGAAAGAGTAATAATTGACATGTATTAATACAAGTTAATCAACGAATAAAGTCGAGCTTCCCATTTTCTCTTTCTATTTCTGCTACAGTGTTAATTCCAGTCTTTAATTCCACACTATTTTCCCCAGATTCCGCATTAATTCCAGCATATCATTTCTCCTCCCACTTAATCTTCAAACTGAAATGAAGGAGGCTCCAATCTGTAGAATCCCCCTCTGTTAGGGAGAGGAGAGCATGGCTATTTCACAGTTCATTCTTCTTGACACTTGATTGAGGACCATGCTAGGATCTGGGTGGTAGACAAAACCACTGTGGTTCATAAAGGAGAGTTTATTAGGTTTAAGAACACACTTTCCGAATTATAAGTCTCTAAAAGTTACACTGTGGACCAGTGGTGACTTTGAGGGAATTGTACTGTAATCTGATTAAAGATTCCCTCCCCCCATACATTTCCTGTTTCCCTCCACCATGGCACCTAGGAACATCTATCAATGGCTTATCTAGTGAAGCATTTTCTCCTATATAACACTTTTTATAGCATTTTTTTTGCTACAGAATGCTCAATAAATATTTATAAAATGAAAAATATGAAGTATACTGAAGTCCCTCCTTTGTAAGAAGAAAGTGTCTATAAACCCCTAATGGCATGCCCCACAGCTAAGGATATTACACCTGCAATAAACCAGGAGTGACTTTTATTATAGCTCACTCATACGCTTAGGTAGAACTCTGCCCAAACCAGTCAGTCCAAGAATAGAATTTAGACTCGGTCATCCAAAGGAAGAGAAAATAGTACCCTTAGAAGGGATGAGCAATGTCTCAGAGAGTGAAAAACTGTACAGAAAAGGACTAAGGATGTCTGCCTCTTGATTTGATTCAATAAGTGGTGGTTAAATATCTTCGAAATCAAACTGGAAAAAGTGGAATGTTTTTGGAGATAAAATTTTATATTGTCTTGTTAAAAATATTTTTAAACTATTCTAATAACTCCTAACCAGGTTATTTTTTCCCCAGCAAAATTTATGTATGTGACATAATTTCCCCCCTATTGTTGTTCAATTTTGGCTTCACTAATATGCAAAGTAATGATGTCAAGCTGGAGACTAAGGTGTGCCTGATCTGGGCCATAGTCTTCACAATTGCGTGGTATGTGTCAGAGAGCTGGGCAGTGACTAGAGGCGACAGAAAGAGAATTGATGCCTTTGAGCTGTGGTGCTGGAGAAGAGTGTTGAATATACCGTCGACTGCTAGGAGAACAAACAGATTCGTCCTAGAGAGGGTGAAACCAGGCTGCTTCTTGATGGCAAGATTCTGAAGCTTCATCTGACCTGCTTTGGACATGTTGCAAGGAGGGACCAGTCCTCGGAGAGGAACATCATGTTTGGGAGGATGGAGCTTCAGCTCAAAGAAGGAAGACCTTCGATGAGAGGGATCGATTCAGAGATTGGAGTAATGGGAATAGGTGGGTCGGAGACAGTGAGGTTGGCACAGGATAGAGCAGGATTTAGGGCTCTTGTACATAGGGTCACTATGAGTCGCAAGTGACTCAAAGCACATGAAAACAACAACAATGCATTGCAGCCAATGTCATACAACTCAAACCCTCCCAGCCTCTCCCAGAGCAGTCCCATCCAAAACCAAACCTACTGACATCATAACCCTCCATCAGGTTTCTGAGACTGTAAATTTTAACAGGAGCAAATGGCCTTAGCTAGTGTGTTCAAACCACTGACCGTTCGGTTAGCAGTCCAACCCTTAGTCTACTGCAGTTTGGCAGTCCCTGAATCTTCTCATTTATAATCAGCTGAAAATAGCATCTGACTTGCTTTGCATTTTCCAACCCCTATTCTTACCCAATGTGAATCTTGATCAATAACCTGCATCTTTAAGACACAAAATCATCGAGTTTGCTTTGCATACACAGCCACAAGGTGAGACTCATCTTATCTGGTTTCCTTATGTCAGAGCAACGTGCCTCTCATACGGGCAAGGTGGTGTCCTTTCCATATGTTTGCCAAAATGCTTATTTAATAGAAACTATTTCTAAATGTGAATTATAGCACTTTTTTTTTCCTTGAAAACCACATGTTCATGTTTGATGAAGTTTTTCTTTTCTCTCCCTTTTGACCACAACCGGCTTAACTTACTGGAAAAAATAATATTCATATTTAAAAAGGTAAATTTTCCAGCTGAAACTGAAAACACTAACTGTGATGATCTGAGAAACCAGCATTTCTCACCAAGGCCCGTTTTGCTGAGTTAACATTTACAAGTAAATGGTGAAAAAAGGAGGTTCTAAAGAAATGCAGGGCCTCACTGAAGTCCCTTGAGACAATGTTGCCAGGAATGGTCAAGATCTGTGGGCAGAAATTTTCCCCCTGAGAAAGCCTTCCTGAGGACACTTGACTGGCCCGTGGACATGGAAGACTGTAATTTTTGGGCTACAGGAACTCACCTTTCTTACTCACCTGTATTGATAATCAAACTGAAATTGATATTTCATTCTGTTTTGTCCCTACCAGCAGGCAGAGCTGTCTCCAACAGTCTAAAATTCATTACAACTATCTACAGGATTTGGCCTTAGATGTACATCAAAGGAAAAAGAAGGGGAGGAGCTGTGTGTGTTGGCTAAGTGCCTAAGGAAGTGCCAAAAGAGGAGTGGAGAGATTAGTCTTCATTCAGGAGGTGTCTGATGCCAAGAGCACCATCTGGGAGTGCTGTTCTTTGGTGGCTGCAGAGTCTGAGGAGATAGCGTTGATTTCTTTTGTTCTCTAACACATGAAAATAATAGGAATAACCTGGTCCTACACTGGTTTGAAGGATATAGGGAGTGAGAATGTCAGGATCAAGGGGAACAAACTATTCCCCTCTTCCTTTAGCCAGAGAACAAGTTAAGTGTTGCTTTTGCGAGAAGCCATAGATGGTTTTAATATTTTGCAGTTAAATATCTTTAAAAGGTTGGCTTTCTTAAAACCGTTTTTAACTCACTTACATAATTTTTTTCTTTCAAAGAAAGCAAACCAGCAAGCCCTGGTTGTTTACACTATGGATGCTAACAGGGCAAGATTGCCACTGTCTAGATTTGCCTCCATTTCTCGACAGTGGCACTACTGACATCTGGGGTTGGATACTTCTTTGTTGTGAGGGCTCTCCTGCAATGTAGAATGTCAGCAGCATCCCAGTCTCTACTCACTAGAGAAAAGCAGCTCGTTCTTCCCCACCCCCAAACACGACACTGTAAAATATCTCCAAACAATGCCACGTATTTCCTGGAGGGATATATCACTGCCCACTGAGGCCACTGATTTATATGATTAGAAAAATAAAGAGAAAAAGATTCCTGATCAGACCACTAAAAGATCTGAGATGATCACCACATAAGTACAAGCCTTCAATGGTTTTATTTTTATCAAACTTTTCTGTAAATATTTTATAAACTCTACTTTGCTGATAGCCCTGAAAGCTCTATATACTAATAAGGTCTTGAGCTATTTGCTTCCTTCTTGAACTTGCCTGCTAACAAAACTTAAAGATCTTAGTTAATGTCTTTACTCTTATATTAGGGTCAACATTGCCAGATTAGACTATCAGATATACAGTGTCACTTTAATAAAATCCTCTCATTATGTTGTAAGATTTAAAAAATTTCTTTCATTAACTAAGTGTATAAATGAAGTGCCTATTGCATAGACTTGGGTAAAATAATGAGATAGCTTTCTTATTTCTTATTTTACAAGTTAGAGACTGCGTCCAGAAAACTCTGCAAAGGACTCTTAACTCAGTTAAACAAAGTGTGTGAGATGCTGAAAAATTAATGTTTTGAAATTTAGGCATAACGATTAAGAAATATTATCACTTTTTGGAAAAGTCTTTCCAATAGGCTGAATGTGCTACTTTCAGTTTAAATGCTGCTTATAAGTATAGAACTAGTAAATGAGAGTGGTTGGGTTCAGAGCTGGAGAGTGAGTTTTAAAGAAAAGCAATAGTTGTGACTCATTCACTTTCTAAACTTTTACACACAGTCATTTACGATAATTGTTTTCTTTGCAATGCAGCCTCGTAAGTCTCCCACTTTGTAGCAGCCTAATTACTGGTAGCCTTTTTATTGTTATTCTTATTTATGTGGTTAAAGTCTGTGACAGCGCAAACTTTTTCCTAATTATTATACCTTCAGAGTACCAAACCAGAAGACCAGATCTAAGGTATAGGGAAGGGCTGTGCACATAGCACTCTAGATCTATATGCTAAGCCTTGTCTTGTCTTCCTGGGACTCAAGTGGATTTTACGACTTAAGAGACTAGAATGAATTCTGAAAAGTGGTCCTTTCAATAGTCTCCTCAGAAGGCAAGGTAAGACTCACAAACCAAAGTATGTGCAGTTATTTCCTTTCCTGATTTCTACATCCCCATTCCTTGATGACATTCCTTTAATGAATTCTTCTATATTTTTCCACATTTATTATTAAAAAATTAATTCTGCTTCTATCTAATTAATTCTTTATTAATTATTAATTCTGCTATCTAATATTTATTTTCACTTGATTATGAATAAGATCTAAACGTGTTCTTGCCTAAAGGCTCTTAAAATGTAACTAGCTGGTAATCATTAAAACTTATTTTCTGATTTTGTTATTCTATCTCAGAAATACTATTTGGAAATATTCTTAGAGATATTTGAAGATAAATGCATATTTAATGATAAATATAAGATAGCAATTTTTTATTGGTTTGCTTGTTGATAAAACAACTAGTATTTTAGCAAAAGAGAGAAATATTTTAAAATTATTAAAACATTTCTTGAATGGAAATATCTTCCTAAATAGCCATGCTAATGCTTTCCTTAACTGAATGAAAATTTGATATAAAGGATATTTTCAGAATAAATTGTTCTTACCTTTATATCTTGTGGAGCTGCGAAAAAATCAGGAGCCTAGAAGAAAAAACAAATAGTTCTGATCTGTTTTTATAAGTGAAAAGCCTTCTTTTATACAAGTTGAATATATTCTTTTAGTAGTACGGCAGGTAGTGTCTTACCAAGTAATTCATATAATTTTTCAGTTGATCAACAATGTCTAGGAGTAGACGCATCCTAATCATGAAACGGTCTTGCTCCTGAGAGCTTGATTTGTGGGCCGCTGCTCCAGAGAAGATGACTATCAGGCAGAAGACTATCCTCTGCATGTTGTCAGGACTTGATCTCACCAATGTCAACAGTAAGGCAAACCTTGAGCTTGTCTGGATTTCACTTCAGCTTGACTGTGAACAGGTTGTCACTTAAGCTACCTATTTATTCATCCTTCAGGGAGAGGTAAAGCCCTCCCAGTGCAGCCTGGAAATCTTCGTAAAATGGATGAATGTGAGTAACTCTTTTTTCTTTTCCACTGGCCATGTATACGTATGTGTGTGCTGCTGTGTGGGGGCAGGGATTGATGGAGTCAACGAAATATGCCCAGTCTGCACCTTTGACAGGAAAAAGAGAAAAAAAAATGGGTGCATTCCAACTCTCAGCATGAATTGAGAAGCATGCACAATAAATAGTAGATACTACAAGACTTCAAAGAAGTAAACAAAAACACTTTGAACTCTTTTTATATGCTCTCCCTAGCATGTTACCTGTTGTCTCTGGCAGTCAAGATGCACACTCATAAAGGCCCTTCAATGAGTAAGATAGCAACATGTGCTTTCTTGCAGGACTTTTTCTTATGGTAATAACAAAACCCATCCTGAATTCCATCATAAAGGTAGGAGGAGGATTACCTTTTAGGAAATATTGAATATAGGGGATTTTTTCAAATTATCAAGAATATTTTAGGTTCCTATTAATTTATGAGTTGAACTTGAATTTGCTTTTAGTCCTTCAACAGAACAGCTTTACATGATATTAATCTTGCCTCCTAACATTTTATTTACCCATCAGATGCATAAATATCATAAAGGTTTCTAAAGGATTTTATAGATAATTTACCCCATATCTTTAAAATCACTCTAGTTTTACTATTAAAAAGGTAAAGAAAATCCCAAACCTCCAATGAGTACATCTTTTATATAATGCATCAGTTAAACCAGCAAAAATTTCTCAAACTCATTCCTATCTGAAAATATGATTCTTCTCTTTTTAGGTGGTGTTGGTGTTGTGTCACTCTCCATCTAGTCGGCTCTGGCTTATAATGGCACTCTGTACAGACTGAACGTTGTTAGAACCCATTGTTAAAGACACATATAAAAAAAAAGACACTTACCAAGTCAGCTCTTTAAGTTACATTTTCTTTAGAGACTATTTCCTCTGAGTATGATCAACAAATTGCTAACTGTGTGTAAGACTGAGTAGATGTTAATAAAAGACCAGAAATGGCTTTATCATCTTCCTATCTTTTGCTTCTTTGCTCCTGTGGTTCTTTACTCACTTGAGAATGTTGTGTGTCATATTCAAGCTAGACATAGAGTCTGTACTAGTCATTCAAGTCTTAAACAGAAAACTCTTTCTTGTAGATATTTATTCATTGATATATTAATCTATTTGTATGAGTAAAATTATGCTTTAGAATATTACTTAGGGTAAGTTGGAACTTGTGTTTGATATGCTCTGAAGTTTGAATCTTTTTATTATAAAATATTCACTCAGGATTTTGATCATGTAGAGTTTATAATAATGCTTATAATGTGATCAAGAAATTTTGAGGCAGTGGCTGCAGCAAATGGGATCAATAAATAATAAGAATGGCATAAAGCATGACAGGGTTAAGATCTGTTGTTCGTTGGGTTGTTGTGAGTTCTAAAAAAAAGCAACAATGAAATTCTATAGGGGATGATTCTGTGTCAAACTATGAATTCATATGAGCTCATAGGTTACCATTTGACACTTCAGTGTTGCCTTGCATGGTATTTTTTGGTTGTTTTCCTTATTAGTCCAACAAGAATTTAGTCTTCTTGAAGACACTAACCACAGTGGTTAACAATAAAGTTTCTACAGCAAAGTGTTTGGTTGGGTTCAGATTCAGTTACTAATACTTAATAGCACCTATGACTTTGGATATGTTATTATAAAAGGAAGTTAATTATCTGTTCATCAGTTATCATGTGATTTAAATAATACTTTCAAGTAAAGGGCTTAGTAGTATTTAGTATAGGAAAGTTGAATAACATTCTTAAAAAATTCCATATTATAATCCTAGAAATACGGAAATATGCTCTGTCGTGTGTACTAAGAAATTTTACAGATATGACTAAATTGAAGGATTTTGAGAGAGAGATTATCCTGGATTATCCAAGTGGAATCAACGCAATCATGAGATACTTAGGAAGGCAGAAAGAATTAAATCAAAGAAAGTTACAAGATAATGGAAGCAGACATCAGGATGATGTGCCCATTAGTCAAGGAATGTAGTCTCCTTTAGAAGCTAGAAAAGTTACGGAATGGATTATTTTCTAGAGGCCCCAGAAATGAATGACGCTGTCAACACCCTGATGTTAGGCCTATGAGACTCATTTTGGAGTTTTGTCTTTCAGAACTGTAAGAGCATGAATTTGTTCAGCTACTAAGTTTGTACTAATTTGTTATAGCAACAATAGGAATCAATATACTTGGGTAAGGAATTCTTACTCTTAGAATAAAAGCAGAAGTGGGAAAAAAGAAGATATGATAAAGATAAAAGCAATAATGGTTGTGGTTTTGTGTTTTGGATTTCTTGCGGAATAAGATAGGGGACAAGGAAGTATAAAAGTGAGAAAGAAATAAAATTAGTGAAACTACTTTATGTTGTGGGACTTGAGGGCTAAAAATTTGTAGTGAAGACTTTCTAAAGTTTCAAATGTGTTTAAACAATCTTCTTCTAGCCTTGATAATACTTAACTAAGAATTGACTGTGTTTTGAAATTGTGCAGCCAATTTGTATTTTATTTCCATTTATTCCTGAGTCCACATGGGAGCCCAATTATATCTGAGTTACACAGGTAAAAGTATTCTCTGTTTGTTGTTGTTATGTGCCATCAAGTCGCTTGTGACTCATAGTGACCCTATGTACAAGAGCCCTAAATGCCTTTCTATCCTGTGCCAACCTTGCCGTCTCAGACACACTCATTTCCACCACCCCAATCACAGAATCAATCCATCTCATCGAGGGCCTTCCTCTCCTGCACTGTCTTTATTTTATTCCTGTAAAAACAGTGTCATGGATATAGGATCAGTGGCATCAGAATTCTGCTAATTCCACACAAAGGGAATATCTCTATCAATGTTAACAGTCCAAAGTTGATTCCTATTATATCAGACATTCTCCTATGATACCACACTTTCTTGCATCAATTCTAATACAAATTCTAATACAAATTGTTCCTGCCATGGCTCTAGTCACTCTACTCTTTGCTCTTTGGTTTGCTTTTTTTTTTTTTTTTGCAATGGTTACTCACAGACAAAATACACATTTGTAGGATTTATTAGGGAAGTAACAGGTTACACTTTAAGCTGCAAGTATTCAGAATACCATTCTTCCCTCAAGACACCTTCTTCTCAGGTATTCTCGCAGGCAAGCTTTCCTCACTCCAACCTTCAGCCTCACTGGGGCTGGCCAGTGGTATGAAGCTACTTTACTTCTGCAGTTATGGTGTCCTCCATTCTAATTTCGTCAGCATTCAAAGGCCTTTGGATCTTGCAGTTTTTGTTTAGCTTTGCCTCATATCAGTCTCTGTTCTCTGCCACTTCTACTGGTGCTGCTATTGCTGCTGTATCTGTCTTGTGCTGTCTTGTGCAGGGATCTCGAGCCCAAAAGGAAGCTCTGTACTCTGCTTCTTCCTTGATGGTATTGAAATTCCCATTTCATGACTCCCAATCTGTTAAACTGAAAACTGGTAGGATGGCAAAACTGACCAGTTTCTTTTCAAAATTTATATTATCATAAAGCTACCCAATCCCTTATGTGTGGGTCACACCTACCTCACATTTATACAATCTTACCCGGCATGTGGTGAAAGTCAAAGTCAATGGTTTGAAAAGCCACATTAAAAAACCCACTATAGCACAATTAGGTCCTCATAAATTTTTTTTGTCATGATGTTTGTAAGTGTTGTATGTCAAACCCATTTTCCCCTAAAAGTTTAGTGGGTTTTATTGTGTTATTTTTTGCCTATTTAAAAGTTTTAGAAATGCATATATGTAGTTTTGCAGAGCTGACTATATTCTATCTGAAAGTTGTCACATTTAAGCCCTAACAGTGACTAGTTTTGTCTATGTAAAAAGAAACATCAAGATACATGCTTTATCCTTAAGGAAGAAGTAAAATAAAGATGGAAGGTGGTGATGGAGCAAAGAATGAAAAGCAAACTATTTCATGTTTTTACACAGAACCCTTCTGATCCAAGATACTCAAATGCATGAATGCACACCTTTCTTCTAATTCTTTCCCATTGCCACAGGGGTGGATTTGGTATCAGAGAACCCACAAGTTCTATTAATATGTCTGTAAAGTTCAAGATGCTCTGGAAATTATTTGCAAAATTTTATGGTTATGTTTGTAGGAAGGGGAAACCTTAATTCTATCAGATTCTAAAGGATAGAAACTTGTGTATAAGAAAAATCTATGAAACTGCTGTTTTTATTTTTAAGTCTCTAGGAACTTCTGTGAAGGACAGTGCAATGGCATGATTCATCAGTATGGACACAGGAGTGTAGGTGAGTATGAAAGTTCTGGACTTTCTACACAGAAGAAGCTCGAAAGCATAAGATCGGTTGGAAGCTGTACTTGTATAGCAGGTATACCGTCTTTACTTAGCATCCATGTTTATTTGGAGGCAACTTGTAGTGAAGTAAGAAGCCCTAATGGTGTAGTGTCTTATATTTTGAACTGTTAACAAAAAGGCTGGCTGTTCAAATCTACCAGTAACTCTATGGGGGAAAGGTGGATTCTCTCACTATAATGATTTATAATAGTGACAATCCAATGGAGGGTCTTCATTAGTCTAAATATACTTCTTGCTCACTGGTAGTGGGTTTAATTTTATTGTATTTTTTCCTTTGTTTGCTTGTTTATAGTAAAATGGTGGGAAATGCTACATATGTGCCAGAATCAAGGTCGTTGTTATGGAATATAGTCATCTGTTGTTGTTGTGTACCATCAAGTCAGATCTGACCTATAGCTGACACTCTGGTGAGTTTTCCTACGCAATTAGTAGCTGAAAAGGAGATTGTCTATCCTTCTCCTGCA